GGGAAAGGAACCCTGGAAAACTAACTGGAGAGAAAGTGTCTTTAATTACTGTGATGTAACAGTAACGTAACAGTGTAACAGATGTAACAGTGATCTAACAGAGAAATGTGTTAGAAGTTTGTTCTCCTGCCTAACCCTCTGGTTTCTACAGTCAACCTTTCCGCACCTAGGGGATAATTTATTATTCCTCTTGCATACTAAGGCTTCTCCTAGCCTAACGCTGACCTAAATCTATGTTACAAATATTTGCCTTTTGAAGTTACCATGCATCATTACTGTTACATGATGCTGTTCTGGGAATATATATACATGTGCATCTTTCTAAAACATGGGAAATGAAGAATGCAAAAGAATAGCTGGATAGCAGCCTGCTAGTTACAAAAATCTCTCTTTACAGGATGCATGTGAAACAGAATGAAACTGAATGCATCCTCAGAGATCATCTTTTCATAATACTACATTGATTTGTACATGATACTGCTGAGATTTTATTAGTCAGCTCTCTAATCAGCCTCCTACATTATGTACAAAGCAACAGAACTTCATGAAGTCAAATAAAGTTCATGGGCAACGTCACACCACACAGGCTGCAGAAGTGGCAGAGCAGAGTCAAATGCGAATTATTTCTGGGAAATTACACCATGACAAAGCTAGTAACTGGCAAAGTGTCCCATAGCAGAAAACAAAATTAGAATTCTTGCTGAAAGACTGGATTCTCAGCTGTTGTCAGAATTGTCAGAATATGTTTTTACATTTTATAGTGTGAGGTTTTTTTTTCCTTTTCTATTTTCTTTTTTTTTCTTTTCTTTTTTTCTTTTCTTTTTTTTTTTTTAATGAAGGTGGTCAATGAAATAGGAATATAAAAGCAGAAAGGACATCTGAATCATCTGCTCTAGATCCCTACAATTACAGGAAATGATGATAGATATGAAGACTGGAAAAGTCTTCATTCTCATAGACACTCCTCTGAATGTCCCAAAGCCCCTATCGTCGTGGAAAGCCTAGCAGCCTTTGACCAAAAAGCTAAAGAACTCAAAAGCTAAAGGTGAGTTACAGCAAGAGGAGTTTAAAAGGCATTACAGAGAGAAGCCACTGATGTAGAGAGAAGCCACTGGTGCTTCTCAAAGCAGAAAAAGACAAACATGCAGTTGAGGGAAACACCTTTGGGTTAGGAACTGTGCTTGCCCGTACCTGTGGTGCTGGCATTTGAAAGCAGGAGGTGTAATGACGGCAGCATATTGTTTAAAAAGAAGCTGGCCAAAATGTGCTATCTTTGTTGAGATGTTTTCAAAATTTACTGATTTCCAGAAAAGCTACTGTAGAAATATGTCTTTGCATCAGAACCTTTTATTGGTCCAAAGAGGTAAGAACAGTTCAGAAGAAAAGATACCATGCTTTGATCAGTAAAGAGAGGTGTGCAATGATTTTAAAAATCCTATGATTATGCTGATACACCAGTAACTGTAGTGCTTATAAAGGTGTCTTTACTGACATGACATGACATGAAACAAAACAATGCATGTTTAAAAAGAGAGAGAGAAAAAACACAAAACAAATTCCAAAACAAAATTCAAAAACTCCAAATCCCAAACATATCCTGAAGACACACATACATAGGCAATCTTCAAAGAAAACAGTTTAGCAGCCATATACACCCATCTTCCTAATTGGGAGAGAGATAAAAATAAATAAACCCAACCTCTGAGAACACCAGCATTGCTGGTTTTGCAGAACATGCTATCAGCTGCTGATACATATTCAAGCCAAACTAGAGGAAGGGTACAACCCACCCTTATAAAATACTAGGTCTTCAAGAGAAATGCCCATTTGTTCTCAACTTAAGGATCCAATACAGGCAATCTCATCACAGAGAGAACCAGAGTGTAAACAGAATGATGTTTCTGTTGTGTCTAATTACTGATGTGGTACTCTACCTAGATTTTCCTTTTCGTTGAGTACGTTTCTTTGGCACTCACAGTTTTCTTTGACTCCATCAAAGAGCTCCAGTTCTGAAATTGCCACCAGGCACAGCCAGAAGCTGGAGTTCTGCTTGACTGGCAAGTTCGTGCTTATTTGTATCGCATTGTGGGCCATCAATGCCCTCAGTGGCGGACCAGAATCCAATTATCCCAGGCCATTGGACTCCGCACACAAAGAGCTCCTTGCTGGTTTGTGTCACAGCTTCTCAGTCCTAATACTCCAAAAATTCTCCTGTCTTCATCATTTTCTTTAACCCTTCATCATTTTCTATAACCCTTACTGCCTCAGACAGGTATCTCCTATAAATACATTCAATTAACAAGTTGTTTCTTTCCTTTCTGCTCCTGGGGAGAATGCAGACAGAATTACAAAGCTCCATTTAATACAATACCATGTGATTTTATTAACAGAAGCAAAGACAAGGAAATGTGCAATCCACTTCAGATAAGAAGTGATGACATTCCTAGCAGACCTTTGATTCTGGATAGTCTCAGTCTTGTAAATAGCCGCCACACAGGACGTTTGATGTGGTGCACATCTCCACTATGCCTGAGTGGACTTTTCAAGTGCACCACATGCTTGCTGCAGAATAGCAGCCCCCCACATGAAGGGATGCAGTAATAAATGCTCCCTTTTGGCAGCAAGCAGCGTCACAGCCTTCGGCACAGCCCCACGCTGTTCATCACGCTCCTCGCCAGCCATGCCAACGAGCTAGCGAGCGTTCCATAGGCAGCCTGCAGGCTGTGCATCACTTACAGTAAAAAGTAATCTTACTGAACAGATTTAGGGCTTTTCTTTTTCTTTTTCAAATAAAAATGTACTAGAAAAATATTGCTCTTCTAAAATAAAGAAGCTAGCCTAACAGTGAAGAGAACAAGAGAGTGAACGATGCTTTTAAGCACGTCTAATGATTTTTATTATTGTTTTTCCTATATGAAATTCTGGAAAGAGTTTTTTTTTTCACTAAAACAAAAGCCCATACACTTTTCTCTTTTGGGATGGCAATCAGTGCAGCACACTGAAATGAATGAACGCTGACGAACTACCTATCTACAGAAAAGACTCCCAGGTTCATAGCATTCATATGCCTGGAAGAAAGGACATAGAGATTATTCCAAAATTACTTTCTTTCTAGTATAAGTTATGAAACCCTAGCATATACTATGAAAACTCCTTCATTACCACTTTTTTGAATATCAGAAGTATACAAAAGGGAAATATAAAATAAAAATAGGCTGGGTGAGTTTTGAGCCTAGTGCTCCTGTTGCAAGCTTACAGGAAAAAAAAATACAAGAAGAATAGAGTACAGGACATAATTTTTCCCAAAACACCAGCTATGAGCTGAAGCATTCAATTCTTGAGGCAAACATTCTCGTTCTCCTTCAACAGCTTTACACAGAATTTTTTTTTTTTAAAGGAATGAAAAAAAGAGCTCTGAACTATGGGAGACTAAACACATAACTAAATTGGGCAGAAATGCAGTGAGATTGCCATATATCAGGCAAGGAGAAGAGGAAGTGCCTACTCAGAATAAGAAGAGGACACTTCAAAGTTTTAGTTCAGAGGATACAGCTGTGCTCTCCTCTTACTTTACCAGGAGATAAAGTTAAGTTAAACAAGTTAATGCCACAGAAGCAGTAAAATCTAGGTAGTGTTACATGCACAAATGTTGCAGCGTCAAAAGTATGCCTCTGGGCAGGAGAGCATAAGCATATTAGCTAGCTCTCTATTATAATGTGGACATTTTTTCAGACTTTAAACTATTAAAGAATTTTGTATGCATTTCCATGGTTTTCAGATTTTAATATCTTTTTACTCAGCAAAGTTTACTCAGAAAGACAAGTAGTACTTGCCTTTCTGTCCATCTCTACTGGACTACCTGCCCAACATCACTTAAATGAACATGCCAATTTGTGGCTGACATTGTTTCAATCAATGGAAAATGGTGCATCTAAAACGTTGTTGCAACTTAAGATATAATCTGTATGACTTTCCACTACACATTTAACAACTACTTAAGGCAGTTGAGCATTGAAGTATTTACAGATGTATAGTTCCTGCTACAACAGAGACCTTGAGCTCTGTGCCTGCTGGCACCCCAAAGGAGAAAACAACTTTATCTTCCACTAAATGGGCTTACCCTTGATTAATACTCTTAAGGTTTTTCACAACCAACTTTACTAGAGAAAATATTTTACTAATTACTCATAAAGACCAATGTTGTGACAACAGTGGGTTTCACATCAACTTTTATGGCTGCAGAAATGAAGCAGAAACAAGGCCCTCTCAGATTTTGTTACCATATACACTCAAATACTTTGGCCCTAAAGGAAAGAACTGCTAGTATTATATGTATAATAAAACTACAGAGATATAAGTTCTCATAATTTTACATAAATAATTAGAACTTCTCAGCCCCATTGAGTGTTTTTTCAACCTCAGTAATATCCCAAAAACATGGAATGTGCAACAGATGTACTGTTGAATGGAGAATGACTAAAATCAGAGTCTGCGAGATACTGTGAGTTCTAGAAACTAGTGTAATGTCAAAAAAAAGCTTAGCAGACTATATTATTTCAAGGGAAAAAAAACAACTTTCACATGCATACATCTTCAGAATATTTTCACTTTTTTTTCATAAAGTCAGTACTTACTAACAAAAAGACAACTTTAATAACACATATGAATAGGAACTTATTTAAATGAAATTTGTAAATATAAACATAAGTCAACATTTTTTCTTACACTAACTGGGCATATAATAAGGTATTCAAACTGCTTACCATTTGCCTTGTTCATTTAAAAACTGTTGAACTGCATATCCAAACTGCTCTCTTGACGGACCAGAAAATATTTTTGCTCCAAGAAGCCCAACATTGTAGGTTTCACAATAGTTATGAAGAATGCCTGTTAAAAGAAAGATTGACATTACCAAAGAAGCAATTAAAGAAGAATTTTGATCCTAGTGAAAAAAAAAGCTTTTCATCTGTGCTAGCTTCCCCAATTAAGAAAACAAAATGTCACCTTTGACACATGCAGTAAAAAGCAGCCTCTCTCCTAATAAACAACAATATTCACCTCCCCATACTCAATGCTTGTGTAGCACACTGTATAGGCATTCTGCAGGCACAGATTAATGACTCATTCAATATTTTGTTTAACAAATGCTACACCATTACTAATGCAAGGGCTTTAGTTGAAGCGAGACAAAAAATATGATTAGAAGTGTTTTATCTTCTGCCGTAAGGGAAGCTTACAGAACAGCAACCACATCAATAGCCTTGGGTACTTGGGTATATCAAGATGAAAATCTTAGTGATAACTGTTAATGCTATTTGTATTCTGCTGTCCATCTGCAGGTTATTGTTTGAAATACAGGAATAAAATTCAGACTGTCTACAGCATCAAAACATCTACATTTCTGAGTCATTTCATTATTATATGTTAGTGTTTGTTTTCTGTCCAAACAGCCAGAGCAGTTGTCCAAACAGGAAAACTTAGAAATACAAACATTAAAGATTTATTGCTGCATTAATATATTGTGACACTTAATCCTGAATCTGCACTTTGCTAGGATCAGGACATTAATTGCTTTTTCTTGGGCACTCCCATGCCTAGGGATAAGGATATTTTTCTCAGAACTATCCAGGTTCTGAATGTCTCAATCTTGCAAGGTGTGCAGGTCCAATTATTCATTCATAAAGGACTTCTTTAGAAATGGAAGTTGTCTATGGACATCAGGAAGTATGACTATTACAGAAACGGTGAGAAAAGAGCCAGAGACTCCTAGCACCTGTGAACAAAATTTCTTCTGCCCCTGATTGGGAGTGGAAGAACTGAGACTATGGTAGCATCCCTGGAATAAACTACAGATCAGCTGCAGACAGGGCTGATGACAGCATGCCAAAAAAAGGCAATTAAGGAAAAAATCATGTCTATAATTCTACTGTGTCATTATTGCCTTAGTTTGCCTGCTGAGATGAGTTCACAGAGTTGCCTACTGGCTAAACAACATCCCTCACATTTCTCACCCTTCCTGGTGCCCTGACAGAATGAGTTTTTTTCTATTCTGCATGTAAAATATGTCTCTGTTTTAAAATAGATGTTACTGCACAGTAGTGAACTTTAAGAATATTCCATATAAGAGCAGGGATCCTTTGAAGAGATATGCTGATCTTTGACATCCTAAAAATTTCAGCTCAAAATAACACCACAGCGATGAAATATTATAGTCATAATTGCATTTTACCAAGTAAAGCTCACTACACTTAAAAATATCAATGAACTTTATATCTTAGCCATACGAATGTGACTAGCAAGAGATTAAATACAACTCATATACAGAACTTCTACCTTCTGACCATGAACTCAAAACAGGAAATCATATATTAGTCATTTCAAACAACCACTACCTAAAACTATTGTTCCTTGAGAAAAAAACATTAGAGATAAAAGCTTTTCCCTGGCCATGTCATCTCCCTGGAGAAGGAGAGTTGAGCCACAGCAGTCAGTGTATTTTGCAATACTTTTGACACTAATTACAACTGCATAAATTCATAGTTCAAGTCTGGGTTTTGGCAAGAGGAGACATTAACAACGTAAAAATTAGAATACTGTGGAAATTTTGCCAGCAATTCCTTGGTCATTAATGTGCTTGCACTTTAAAAACAATAAGGTATAAAAGTAATCCTAGGAAGTAGCATAAGCAAGATATTCTGATAAAAATGCCTTATCCTCAGCCAGAAGTCAAGTGTAATTTAGCAGTGTCTGATGCTTAGAGGCCAGAGGAGACTGCTACAAGAGTAAGAAACTTTTCTGGTGAGTAAGGGGGTTTATAGTTCTCTGTTCTTGGCTCTTCATACTCTGCCACATCTACTGTTAGCCAGCAATAAACCGAACAAAGAGAGGCACCGTCCTGCGCGAATGCTCCTGTGTTTCCAAGTATGTGCTATGTCCCCTCTGCTAGCCAAATTCCAGCTTTGCTGCATGTACTCTGGCTATGTGCTGCAGCCTGCGGAGGTGCAGCTGCAGTGAGAGCTTCCCTGCTGTACGACGCCATGGGATTCCTAGCACCTCGATCACCTCTGGGCTCAGCAGCAGCCACAGCCGCTCTGCCTTTGGTCTCCCAGTGGCCCTCAGTGATTTGGACCTTGCTGCTGAATCTGGACAGTCTCCAGGACCGCTCTCCTAAGTTCCCACTCATTCAGAGATAGGGCCCAACGAGCGACGAAGGCAGCACTTCACCAGGAGAGACGCTGGAGACACTTTGATCCCCACAGTTCATCTGGGGCCCAGGAGGAAGGGCAGCATTTGCTTAGAGGAGCCTCTCTGTCCCCTGTGCATGCCTAGCAGTCAGGACACACATACACACATCCATCCACCCAGGCTGGTGGCCAAGGCCTGCAGGCTCAACCTCCTGCTCCTCTTTCTCAACCAAACTCCCACTTTCACGGGTTCTCTCCCTTTCCCAGGCTACACATCAGGCAGCGAATCCACCCAGCTGGCCAAGGGCACCAGGCATGAGCCACCCCTGCATCACCTCTGAAATAGTGGCGCTCCTCCACGCCCTGGGCTCATCATGGAGCTATACCACGCTCTAAGGGATGGGGAGCCACTGGGAGAGCTCAGACATGGAGCAACCGCTCCAGCTGGGTTGAAATGAGAGGTCAGAGTCTGGAGTGTCCGAAGGGCATGGACAGATGCAGGTAGTGGCCAGAGCGGGACCCCCACAGCTCTTGTGCTTGGCTGCAAAGCACCTGCATCCCTCCTAGTGCCTCCTCCACCTGATCTGTTGTAAGTGCCTTGTCTGGCTTGATAGAGTGCCAGGAGACTGAACTGCCTTCTTTTTGCTGGCAGGAATGGCTCTACTTGCACCCATTTTAAATGCCACCACTTCTTACACTGTTAACTGTCAGTTACTGTTTTTGTTTGTTTGTTTGTTTGTTTTTCCCATTAGCTCTTAATTTTCCTTTGTATCACCTCATTATGTCTTGGTTTCATTCTTTTAAATCTTTTTAACAGCTTCAGTATCAAAGCATTGCTCTTACGGGGTAGGAAGTTTTAGATGGAGCAATGATGGAAAAAAAAAATCAGATCACAAATTCGCATCTCGAAATTGCTTCCCTCATCCCCTCATCCCTTCTTTCTGGCCAGGCAGATAGTCAAGAATAGCAAAAAGAAAAGGAAGAAAAACAAAAAAGCAACCAGAAAGCCTACCTCAGAAAATATACTGTCCTCCTAAATGTGCCTATGGGTCTGCTTTGCCTCCCACTCCTGAGTGCTTTGCAAAATTGAAGTAGGAAAAAACAGGTAACCACATTCTGAGTCACCACAAACATTATCAAGCAAACGATAGTGTCAACATATTTGAATCACAGTCATTTTAAATTCTACATTCTAATAATTATTAGCAGGTTTTTGATTTTACATCTGCACAAATATATGTTGCATTGGGCTTGATGAAGTCCAGAGAAGAATAATCCAGTAGACAGTTTTCCTGCCTTCTTCTTCTGCCTTATACAGTGATTACTCTATAAGTAGATCTTTCTCTTCCTGCTTTCTGCATCTATCTAAATACAGTATTCAGAATCAGGAATCCAAGTTCTTGCAGCCAAAAAAGAGAAAATGCTGTTTTCTCCAAAACTATTTTAAGCTTCTGCCAGAATAAGAGCCTCTCTTATGCTTTAAAAGGGCGCTAATCCTGGAAGTGTCTAGATTCAAAGTACTGTATATTACAGGCTGGAAAGATTCAGTAGCTGTTGCTGCCTTCAGGCAATGAACTTGCATAAAGATTCTCAAAACACAGAGAACACAGATTTTAATAGCTTTTGATGACAGAAATCTAGTTTGTGACCTAACAACCATGATGAGGGATTAAAACAAGCAAAAATCTGCTTCCTAAATTTTGCCTGTAAATGCTGCTTAATTCAGTCAAATAAGCAGACTGAGTGGAAGAAAGGAGGTGAGACTAAGTCTTGAACTTCTGAAGGCTCATCTGGAAACTTCAAAAGCTGCTCTTTCTCTCCACTGACTAAACAGGGAGCTTGGATATGTTGGCTTAAAGAAGGTTGCTTCATTGAGCAGACTCATTCCCAGCCTATGTTTTGAACAACAACAACAACAACAACAACAAAAGTTATAGAAAATGTCCTTAATGGGACAAAAGGAATCTGTAAGCTTTCCAGTAAAACACCAGTACCTCTTTGCACTGTATTTTTGCCCATACTTTATCAACTGAATTTCAGTATACACAACAGGAACTGGAATGTAAGAGCACAGCTGCTATTGTAAGTTTACATCACCATTTTCTAGCTACTAATAGAATGGAAAGCAATACATGTTCTAACTGGGCACTTCTAAGTCTGAACATGTGGGAATTCTTCTGCAACTATAAATGACATTTCTAATGATGGTTATAATGACTTCTGCTTACTGCTGTTAAAGTACAAGCTGAAGCATGCTTTCTTTTTTTTTTGAAGTAATAGCTCATATAAGGAGCACCCAGCTTATAACTGTTTGGATTTTCTAGGCAAAATTAAATAAAGCTCCCAATTTGCAATGAGCAAGCAAAAAAGTATCCATTAGGTAATCCATCATTTTATGTCATGATTAGAATAATTGTGCAGTTTTAAACCTTTATTCAGGTTAAACAGTGTAACAGAAAAAGCATCTTTTTAACAGGATGAAAAGCTACAAACTGAAATAAGATTTTTGTGTGTGCTTGCTTGATCTTTGATGTAAGCTTCTAAACTTGTAATAAAATGTACTAAGATTGTTAGTCTGTCTTTAGTGTCTCTAATTTAAGATGGTGGAAATATATCACAGAATCACAAGAACACAGACTCATGCCGAATCACAAGAACACAGACTCATGCCAAATCTCTGCTTTGATTAAAATAGCTGGTTAAACAGAGACATTTACTGCTACCA